TCCAACCCAACCCCGGCACTTGGCCCAGAACCTTGTGTCAGACAATTTCCCTCCCTGCAACTCCCTAGAGCAGACCTTCTTTAGGTCTCTTCCCCATTTGGCAGCTCGTGCAATGCTACTTGAAATAGTAACAGCTAAGTCTGAATTAGTGAAGTACTGTAGCTAAGGGTGGGCTAAACTTAAGAATGAGGTTTTGTGGGCCTGGTGGCTTTCTGGGACCCTTTCTGGGACACCATCAACACTGGTCTCATTCTTGGAGCTAAGCACTTGAATTCTGCCCTTCAAGGTCTCAGAAAGGCAGGCTAGCCCTCCCGGCCCCCAGCTTACAGCCTCCTCCTCCAATACCAGCAGCTCCATTCTTTTTTTTTTTTTTCTTTTTTTTGGTTGTGGGGCTTTAACTCTGGGCCTGGGCACTGTCCCTGAATTCTTTAGCTCAAGCTAACTCGCTACCACTTGAGCCACAGCTCTACTTCCGGTTTTCTGGTGGTTCATTGGAGATAAAACTTTTCTGCCAGGGCTGGCTTTGAACCATGATCCTCAGATCTCAGCCTCCTGAATAGCTAGGTTATAGGCATGAGCCTCCAGCACCCGGCTAACAGCTCCATTCTTACTTGCAGAGATATGGCAGGCAGGTCCTGGAGCCATACCTCATAGCAACCTGAGGAAACAGAAGGCAATGGATAATAATCAAGAACAAGAGTCCTGGTTTAGCTGGGCGCTGGTGGCTCACACCTGTAATCCCAGCTACTCAGGATGCTGAGAGCTGAAAACCATGGTTCAAAGCCAGCCCAGGCAGGAAAGTCTGTGAGACTCGCATCTCCAATTAACCACTAGAAAACCAGAAGTGGAGCTGTGGCTCAAAGTGTTAGAACACTAGCCTTAAGCAAAAGAGTTCAGAAACAGTACCCAGGCCCCGGAGTTCAAGCCCCACCATGGACCAAAAAAAAAAAAAAAAAAAAAGTCCTGGTTTAACATCCAAGCTCTGTTAAGGCCTTACTTAGGCAAGTCACCATCTCTTAAGGTAATAACACTAATCGGGTGTAGGAGATTAGGAACGGCTGAGGGGCTGGGAAGGTGGCTCAGCAGTAGAGTGCTTGCCTTACACGCATGAGGCCCTAGGTTCCATTCCTCAGCACCACATAAGCAGAAAAAGCCAGAAGTGGTGCTGTGGCTCAAGTGGTAGAGTGCTAGCCTTGAGCTGAAGAGCTGAGCGAGGGCACCCAGGCCCAGAGTTCAGGCCCCATGACCGGCAAAAATAAATAAATAAATAAAGCACTTGGCTTTGTGCCCAGCCCATTTCAAAGGTTCACTGAGGATACCTAGAATTCTTTTTACAGCCTTAGAAAGAACATGATCTTTAATGGCAAATAGACCGGGTTAAAACCCTGGCTTGACCACTTATTGACTGGCCTAGGGAAAATTCCTGAACTGTTTTTGAGCTTCCTGTTCCCCAGCAGTAAAACACAGCTGATAAATTTTCAGGACAAAGATCCTTTCTGCATTCTGCTCTTCACACTGCAAACTCAACACTGACAATACATCTGAAAAGGGAAAAATCTCCAAGTCTATTGTGGAGGGTATGTGGACAGTAAAGGGAGGCTGGGGCTGCTGGGCCTGGGGAGGAAGACAGTAAGCACTTTGGTACTCCACTGAAAAGTAGAAACAAAGCCAGGCACTGGTGGCTCACGCCTGTAATCCTAGCTACTCAGGAAGGCTGAGATCTGAGGATCGCAGTTCAAGGCCAGGAAAGGCCTCGAGACTCATCTCCAATTAACTACCATCAGAAAACTGGAAGTAGAGCTGTGGCTCAAATGGTAGAATGCTAGCCTTGAGCTGAAGAGCCAAGGAACAGCGCCCAGGCCCAGAGTTGAAGTCCCACAACCCACAAAACAACAACAACAACAAAATTCCCTTAGCCAAACACCCTAGAGCAAGAGCATGCAACAAACCAAATGGATAACAGCTCCCAGAGAACTCAAATAATCAACCAACACTCCCACGGCCCCCACTTCCCATCATCACGTTATCTCATTGCAAGAGTCGAAATTCAATCCCAACACAGAGTGTCACTGCAAATTGTTTATTAAAACACAAAGCAATGGACAGTGAAAAACATCCTGATTTTTTTTTTTTTTTTACTTTTTTGGTGGGAGTGGGGTGGGGCGTGGAAGGGGTCAGGATAGATGGAGACAGCCCATTCCACCCCTACTGCTTCCCTGGCCAGCCAGGTTCAAAGCCCCTCAAGTACATCTCGCTGTGCTGCTGTAAGTGCAGGCTGTGGCTGCAGACAGGCTCAGTTTGGCCTCTGCAGGGAGATGATGGGAAACGAGAGCAGGAGCTACAAGGGCTACTAACAACTCGACACTTTTTCTCCAATACTTGGTACCACACAGAGCAGGATAGGCCCAATTTGTGGGAATGGGGTTCATTTTCCTGACCAGCCAGGTGGGGGGCAAACATGGTTGGAGAGGCTGCCCTGGGCTCAACACAGGCAGCAGGCCTGAGCCTGGGGGAACTCCTTGGAAAGGGAAGGTTGCGTTCATTAATTCCAAGAAGGAACTAATTAATCCAGGGTCAAATTTCTTTTCATTCCCTGGATCATGACACAGCAGGGAAGAGAGGAGTTCAGAATGCCTCCTTCCTGGTTTTGCCATGGGAGTCTCTCTCCCTGCCAATTCTCCCCTCCCACCTGGCACCTCAGCTCTCCTTTCCCGACAGTTGTCCCTTGAAAGGACGGAAAGCACACTTCAGTTTGTTGTTGTTTTTCCTCGTACTGAAATAAAGCACTGAAGCTCAAAATAGAGGTGAGGATGGAGTTCTGCTTTTTCCCGGTGCGATGTGCTCCTGTCGCACGAGACTGCCTGGATGCGCGTGGTGCCAAGGCCCCCTCTGCCAACTCCAACAGGCACTACTGTTTTCCTGGCTGCCAGCACAATCCTGGCTTCTTGTTTTTATCCTCCTGAGAGGAACCCGTCCCAAGATATTCATCCTGCTCTTTTCCTGCCAACCCAGCCACTCTCCCAATCATCTGCCCTTCCCGAAATGATGTGGCCATCCAAAGCAACCAAGAAAAGGCAGCTGGAGGACAAACCAGATCAGCAGCAAGCCATACACATGTGCAAAGAAACCGTCTCTCCCTGGGCAGCTGACCTGTTCAGACACAGGCTGGTTTAACACCATGAGGAAAACTAGCCCTCTTGCCCCAGCAGATGTCCAAATACAGAAAGAGTCCTAGCTCAAACACAAAGGGAGAATTGCTCTGATTCTTCTGAAGCAGCTTGAACAGTTAAGGCTTCTTTGCAATTTTCTTGGAGCTCTTTGATCCCCGATTGTATCTTTCACTAGAAGAGAGACCTATTTCTTCTGAGATCGCTAAGCAGATCCTGGGTGGTTCTGGTTTGGTGTGCTCACTCTCATTTAGCCTTACAAACCCAGTCTTCTTCCTTGGGGGCGGGGAGGGGGGCATGGCAGGAGGCAAGGCACACCTCCCCCAGCTCTGTCTTTTTAAAAAACAGGAGCCTCTATCTACTGATCTCCTAGGTGGGGGTGGGGTGTGTGTGTCAGTGATGTATGTTGCCACTTGATGCCATTTAGGCTCCTCAAGGCAAGAAGACACTTGAGTTATATCACGGTAGGCCAGCAAAGAGAGGAGGAGGGATAGGGAAGCGGTCCCACGGCAGGGACTATAGGACCCCTGCCCAGACCTGAATCTACAGGGAATGCCTACCCTGGCTCAGGCAGGAGAGGAAAAGGCACTGTGCTGACCGGGGTAGGTCCTTCCCCAATCCTTAGGGAGGGTAGAGAACCTGATTCTCTCTTGGGCTTTTCAAGGTGAGACAATTTCTAGGGAAAAGGGATCTTAGTGCTAGGAAAAGGACAACACTGCTGCTGCTTGCTTAAGTTCTCGGCTGAGATTCTAGAAGCCAGGGGGGAAAGCTTGCCCAGATAAGACAAAAAAAGAGAAATTCCTTAAAACAGAAGCTTCTCCAGAAAGATAAAGAAGTCAAACCACACTTCTAAAACTGGGACAAACAGGCACAGAAAGAGGGGGCTAAGCTTAACTCAAACTTTACCCCATTGCTTTGAAGCTTGTGTGACTTCTAATCTAACCCTCGGATCTCCTGGTCAGAGGGAACAAGAAAACAAGATCACAGCCCCAAACAACACTACAGCTGGGAGCCAGTCCTCCTGGGAGTCTGCCACCACTGGAACTTGAGGGTTATCTTTTATCAAGTCACCAGAACTCAGGGCCTTAACTGAGCAGCAGGAGTTGAGGCTCTCCAGGCAAATGGTGGTTTACAGAACAAGGATCCCACAAATCGTTTCTTGGCACAATTTTTCAGTTAGCTTGAGTAAGACCTAGGAGTCCAAATAGAGACCATTGATTCCTAGCCCAAACCAGACCAGATTACCGATTCTCAGCCCATTTCAAGAAGATGTTTTTCCTTGGTCATCCCAGAAATTTCATCAATGCCACACAACTGGCGAAAAGTTTTACCTGTCTGCCTGCACTTGTCTCTGGAGGCCCTAACAAACCTGGGATGGGCGAGCACTAGTACCTCACACCTGTAACCCTACCTACTGAGATCTGCAGACTGGGGTTCAACGCCAGTCTGGGCAGGAAAGTCCATGAGACTCTTATCTCCAATTAACCACCAAAAAGGTGGGAGTGGAGCTGTGGCTCAAGTGGTAGAGCATTATTAGCCAGCCTAGAGTCCAGGCCCAGAGTTCAAGCCCCCAAAACAGGAGAGGGGACACACACACAAAACAAAACCTAGGACAGCATATAGATCCTGTAGAAGAGAGCCTGGACCTCACCTCAACAACCTGACTGGCACCAGTCACACCTCCAGGCTCAGGCAGACCCCACCCCAAAGCCTCTCAACCCTTGCACTAGCTCAAAATACAGGGAGGGCAATGAACAGTGCAAAAAGCAAAAGATGAACAGCGTAATTTAAGACACGTAATACAAAAATAAAAATAAAGCGTGCCCCGTCCCACCTTTTTAACCGGAACTTCATGTACCTATAGTCATAACTTCATGTACCTATAGTCATCTTGAAGGGGGGCGGGGAGCTTTCAAGTTCAGCTCTAGGCAGCCATGTTGACTGGGTGGGTGTGGCCTCCACTCCAGGAGAGTCTACCCCAGCCCCAACACACTTCTTCGGGTTTCCTCACTTTCCCTTTAAGTGTTTGTTAGCCATAGACAGATGTTCCGTCCTTTCTGACACAACCAGAGAGGAACACACTCATTCCTACCCCAGGGGAAAGGGGTGGGCTTGGAAGCAGAGGCAGAAAAAGCTGCCTGCCTTACAGTACCATTAGGAAATGGCCCCAGGAGTCTGGGTTTCCTTCTGAGACTCTGAGTCACCGAAGGGATGGGCTGGGGTGAGGAGGCAAGACCCCTCGGTTCCTCAGAGACCCAAGCAAACTAACAAACAAGGCAAATGGAGGTGGCTAGTCCTCCTTCATCTTGTCTAATCTGCTGACAGTGGCCCACAGCTTTGGGAGTTGTGATGGAATTGGAACCAAACCACAATCAGAATCCCAATGAGTCAGGACATTCCCCCTTGCCCCAGGCAAGGGGTCCCCAAGACCAAGGCTATATATATAGTACCTCATCATTAGAAGCAAAAAGGGGGTAGGGGGCTTAAGAGTGCTCTTCTGGTGGCGACCTCAGGCCATAGTCAGCCAGCTGCCCACTCAGTACCCTAGGATTGAGGTCCAAGTCCCAAGAAAATAAAGAGCTACAATTCTCAAACAATGAAATAATGCTGGCCTGGAGTAATCATTAAGAGCCAGAGTCAGGAGGACATGAACCCAAAAGCTACCTGCTTTGTCACACAAGGAACAATTTGAATATAGAGAGCTCTCCAAAGAAAGGATACAGTAAGACAAACTCAAAGTAACACATTCTGGAAAAAAAAAAAAAAGGGGGCTTGGCCTGAGACTGAATACAGCTCCAGCCACGCTGAAGCTAATCCTGCGGCCTCTCATTCCCCACTGGCCCCAAATTCTTACTAGCTTGACTGGGTTCTTCCTTACTGTTGCCCTAACTGGGAAACAGATAAAGGTGACCAGAAAGAAAGGAGACAGGGAAATTTCATTTCCAACTGAAATGTCTCCACGGAATTCAAGAAACACACTTAGATGCTAAGGTTAGCTTCAGAGCTGTCAGGACGGTGGCTGACTGGGAATCTTTGAGCCCATCACACCAGGATCACTGACTGCTGCTTGGATAAGGAGATGAAATGAGAGAAGGGGATACTTACTAGTGAGACCAATGAGAAACCTCACGGGGCTGGTGTAGCCAGTCTAGTTCCTTGGGAGCAAACTCTAAGCGTATAGTAAAACTGGTTAAAGTATGACACAGAGGATCTGGGGACAAATGAACATCAGACACTACACATTCTGAACTATGGTCTGTCACTGAATAGGGCTCAAGTCTCTGAGGTTGCTCTTAAGTTATGCTAACATAAGCCTTTTCTAATCCAAAGACCAGAAGAGACTTTTTTAAGGTCAAGTGTTCTGTTGCTGCCGGCTGGAAAGCATTCCTGTCCCTGGCAGCAAGACCCTACAAAGGGGCCAGTAAAGACCTGCTGGGTCAGGTTCTCTTGGCTGTTGGCTCAGAGATCCAGGGAGGGAGGTACCAACAAGGTAAGGGAATAGATGAGAAGACATTCAAGCAGAAGAGAGCCCCAATCCCATCTCCTTTCCTTCTTGGCAATAACTTAGTGGGATGATTCAGAGGGAGAAGACATTCCAAATGAGCCAGATTAAGACAGAAAAAAAAAAAAAAACCACCACAAAACTGAAAAGAAATCAAGCCCCCAATAGGCACTGAAAATAAAATGATTTGTTGTAGTGACAAGTCAGAGGCAATTTGAGGACCCGATGTAAACTAATTGTCTTGGATACCAGACAATCCTCTAACTGGCACATCAGGGAAATAAGCGATAACAAAGCTCAGATGCTGGATTAATCACTGGATTAATCCAGATCAGCTTTCCAGTAAGGAAACATTTACTTTTTTTTTTCTTCTTCCTTTTTTGGATTTCCTCCTCCTTTTTTTTTTTTTTTTGGCTTTATATCTTTCTTACTTTCAATCCTAGGACACCTCAATACTTATCTGGACATAACTTCAGAACATACCCAACTCTCAGTGCTGGTCTTCTCAGGAAATAAGACAACATGTCCCTGTGTTAATTTCTAACCTAAAAAAGGGAACCATGACTGCTCAGAGTTCAGAGTCCTTTCTGCTAGGTATACAAAGAGGATCCTGGAAGAGGAAGGATCCATTTTCCCTAAGTACCCCAGAAAGGAAAATGACAGCCAGGTGCCAGCTACGAAGAGAGGACTAAGACTGAAGCGGGTCTGGAACTAGGTGGTAGGTGAGAGCTGCCCTCCACTCACTCTGCCTCTTTTTTGTCTCCTTTAATTACTGTGTGGAGAGGTCTGGGTTTTGTTTGCTTCTCGGGGAGTTTCCTTATCATGTTGTTATCACTATGAAAAATACAGAAACCCAAACGAACATGTTTGGTTTCTCTCCCATTCCCCTCCACCCTGTCAGGATGGTCATTTGTTCTCACAACCGGCAGAGGCAGAAGAGGGTTGGAATGAAGACTCCAAAGGCCACCAGGATGGGAAACATGAGGCTGCTGTTGTCCGAGGCATAGGGGTTGGGTGTGCGGGGGCCTGACTGCACCCGGTTCTTATTGGTCTGTCTTTTAAGATTAGACCCTTCATCATATTCTTCTTCCTCCTCCTCCTCTTCTTTCTTCTCCAATCCTGGATGGGGCTGTAGCTTTGGTACATCTAGCACAAAAAAGAAAGCTTATTAAACAAGTGAGACAGACCATTAAGAGCAACCAACAACTCACACCAAAATCAAGTGACCCAACAATCCACAACAGAATCCAGAGACCCAATCAGGATCCACAACAGAATCCAGTGACCCAATCAGGATCCACAGCAGAATCCAGTGACCCAATCAGACGCTACAGAAAGGAGCAACAGTAGAGCACCGGGAACACTAGTCTTCTTCAGATTTAACTAAAGCAACAGAGAGAAAGCCCTCTCTTCCCTGTCCCAATTCTTCAGAGTCCTAAGAAGTCCAGATCTGGACAGGAATAATGACCTGACACCCACAACTTAACTTTTCAAATCCCTCCTTTTCCCTACCACAATCCCACATTCCCTTTTGATTCAGAGACTGAAGAACTGATCTACAGATCTACTGATCACAGCCCACACTAACCCTCTGTCCCTCTCTTCTTCATCAGGGACTTGAGCTGTGTTGGTGAAAGGTATCATCTTCCTAGGGTGATAACAGTATTTGGGGTCATCAATATAAAAGGCTGATAGTCTATGTATGCCAGACAAGGTGAGAAAAGGTAGGGTTGGGGAGAAGTCACTAAGACACAAACTTTCCTGGCAAAAATCAGCCTAGGAAACTGGCAGCCAGGAAGATCTAAACCCTAAGGCTCAATCTCAAAGAGATAAATAAATGAACTATCCCAGTGTCCTTCAGCAATACTGGAATCTTTCAGACTACCAAAACTTGAAGGATTCTCCCAGGCTCCCCCTTTTCCTCCTAAGAAATAGATGCAAAATTTCAAGCAATTCTAAATAACAAAAAAGGTCAGACACTCCAATAGGAACTATTATCAATTGATAATGTAATTTTTTCTTTCTGGTCCACTGACTTGAATTCAGGGCCTGGGCACTGTTCCTGAACCTCTTTATGCTCAAGGCTAGTACTCTACCATGGCTTTGAATAGTTTATTGAGTGAATCTCATGGACATTCCTGTCCTTGCTGGCTTCAAACTGCCATGTTCAGATCTCAGCCTCTTGAATAGCTAGGATTACAGGCTTGAGCCGCCATTGCCCAAGGACAATGTAATTTTTGTTTTGGTTTTTTTTTTGGTCGGTCATGGGGCTTGAACTCTGGACCTGGGCGTTGTCCCTCAGCTCTTCAACTCAAGGCTAGGGCTCTACCATTTGAGCCACAGCACCACTTCCGGCTTTTTCTGCTTATGTGGTGCTGAGGAATTGAACTCAGGGCCTCATGCATGCAAGGCAAGCACTTTACCACTGAGCCACCTTCCCAGCCCGGATAATGTAATTTTATTGAAATAAAATTCCTCACAGAGCCGGGTGCCGGTGGCTCTCGCCTGTAATCCTAGCTACTCAGGAGGCATCGCAGTTCAAAGCCAGCCCCGGCAGGAAAGTCTAAGAGACTCTTATATCAAATAAACAATCAGAAAACCGGAAGTGGAGCTGTGGCTCAAGTGGTAGAGCGCTAACCTCAAGCTGAAGAGCTGAGGGACAGTGCCCAGGCCCAGAGTTCAAGCCCTTCGACCGACCAAAAAAAAAAAATTCCCCACAAGGAAGTTAAAGGAATTTATCCAAGACCAAACAGCTGATTAGATGCTGCTAGCAAGATACAAACACAGGCTGGACAAAGGGGCTCAAATCTATAATTCTAGCCTCTTGAGAGGCAGAGATAGGGGATCATTTTAAGGCTGGCCAGGGCATAAAAGCTTATAAGATGCCATGTCTTGGCATGGTATGTCTGTTATCTCAACCAAAGGGGAAGCACAATCGCCAGGCACAGCGTCATGTACCAGTCAAACCCAGTCATGTAGATACACAAGTACCTCCAGCCAGCATGATGATAAGAAATACCCTATCTTGAAAATAACCAATGCAAAAACAGGCTGGAGACATGGCTCAAATGGTAGAGCTACCACCTTGGAATGATAATCTAAATTCAATCCTCAGTACTGCGATTATATTCAATGTACATTATGTAAAAAACTTGAGGGTAGGGTTAGAAGGGAGGAAAACGAGGGAGAATGATGAACGGGCTGGTATTGATCAAAATGCATAACATGACACATGGAACTGTAACCTCTTTGTATAACTACTTAATAATAAAAAAAATTTTTAAACAAAAAGGCCAGGCACTGGTGGCTCAAACCTTTAATCTTAGCTACTCAGGACGCTGAGATCTGAGGATCACAGTTCAAAGCCAGCTAGGACAGGAAAGTCCATGAGACTCTTATCTCCAATTAACTAAAGAACTGATGGAAATGGAGCTGTGACTCAAAGTGGTAGTACTAGCCTTGAGAGAAAGAGCTCAGGGAGTGCACCCAGGCCAAGTTCAAGTCCCACAACCCATCAAAAACAAAAAACAAACAAAAAAAAAAACCTAGGCAATGTGTGTGTGTGTGTGTGTGTGTGTATATATATATGATATATAAAGTGACTAATATATACAGTATGTAGAACATGTTGTATATGTAACACATATGTATGAAATATAGAAATATTACTTCAAAGTTTATGACTAGTACCATCAGATACTTCCTCCTCATCCATCTAACTCTGAATTCCCCACTATTTGACTTTAAGTATTGCGAAAATAATGATCAACAAAGTTATCTCCCAAGTCTTTCCTCACTGTATCCTTCAGTCCAAGTCAAAAGGCAGCAGGTAGAAAGCGTAACTTACCATCTACCGTCCCAGCCATGATGTAGAGTGCACAGACTTTGGGGTTGTCATAGTATCCCTAAGGAATGGGAAACTTGTCAGTCCTATGAGGTAGCAAACATCTTCCCCCACCCACTCTTCTGGGCTATCCCTAAGCTATGAGGTAGAATAGCAGTGTTACCTTGACAAACTCAATGTGAAGCTTCCCTGTGAAAGTGGATACTTCTCCCTGGACGCTCAGCTTCCCCTTTTTGATGCTCATAGGGATGATTTCATCATGGGCCGTGCTGTGCCCAACTCGATCAAAGATATCCAAGTCTTTCACCACAACATGGCCATTTAATCGTACATCAAACACCTTCCAGGATTAAAAAAGGAGGCAATGTCAAGAAAAACACCAGCTTCACACCCCCTCAAGGATTGGATGTCACATACCTGCCCTTAAAAATACTTTAAGAAATGATGGCTCTGGACATTATCCAGCATAGCTAGAGTCCTTTACCTTTGCCAAATGAAAACCATGTTGCTTCTGTGCCAAGCTCAGCATGGAAAGGAAGAAATTTAGGGGAAAAGAGTAAGGCTATATGAAGATGCTGCTAGCTAAGCACTGGTGGCTCATGCCTGTAATCCCAGCTCCTCAAGACGCTGAGATCTGAAGATTGAGGTTTGAACCCAACCTGGGCAGGAAAGTCCATGAGATCTCATAGCCAATTAAACACCAAAAAAGCTGAAAGAGGACCTGTGGCTCAAGTGATAGTTAGCCTTGAACACAATAGCTCAAGAATGGAAATGGTCCTGTGGCTTAAAGTGGTAGAGTGCTAGCTTTGAGCAAAAGAGCTCAGGGACAGTGCCCATGCCCTAAATTCAAGCTCCAGAACCAGCACAAAAGAAAGAAAAGAAAAGAAAAAAAGCAAGGCACTCGTGGCTTACACCTGTAATCTTAGCTATTCAGGAGGCTGCGATCTGAGGGTTGCAGTTCAAAGCCAGCCCAGGCAGAAAAGTCCATGAAACCCTTATCTCCAATTAGCCACCAGAAAACTGGAAGTGGCGCTGTGGCTCAAGTGGTAGAGCAACTGCCTTGAGCTGAAGACCTGACGGACAACGCCCAGTCCCAGAGTTGAAGCTCCACACTGACAGACAGACAGACAGACAGACAGACAGACAGACAGACAGAAAGAAAGAAAGAAAGGAGGGAGGGAGGGAGGAAAGGAGGGAGGAAAGAGGGAGAGAGGGAGGGAAGGAGGGAGGGAGGGAGGGAGGGAGGAAAAGGAAAGAAAGAAAAAAGGGAAAAGGAAAAAGAAAAAGAAAAAAGATGCTGTTAAAAACCCAAGGAAGGGAAGAAAGCAGGAGGGCCTTCACACGATCAACTAGTCACCATGAACTAGGATTCTGGGATGCTTTTTGTTACTAACCCCAGGGCAGGTATAGTCACACCAGCATCTCTGGATGCTAGGAGGCATCCAGCTTTTCCTCTGGCCCCATGGCAGAGGACTGGCCAACTGGTCATGGAGGGGCCTGATCAAGCCTTACCTTCTGCTGGGACTGTGCAAAGTAGACCTCAGCAAATTTCAATACCAGCACATAGTCTCCCTCCTCCTTAATGGGCACTTCATAGCCAAAAGTCTCCTCGTTGTACCGCTCTGTTTGATACAGGATCTGGTCCTCGGGATTGGAACGTAGAATTGGCAGTTTCATGCCATAGTCTGAGGCTAGGGACAAAAAGAGAAAGTACATCAGAGGAGAGACATGAAAGAATAGAGACCCCAGAACTGCTAGAAGCAATTCCAGGGCAATGCTAACCAATAACCCTCCCAGTGGAAGGGGCCACCCCCGCTGCACCTGGCTCCAAAGAGGCTAACACAAAGGCAAGAATCAGAAAGCTATTACCATGGAAGAGTAACATGAAAGAGAAGAGTAACATGAAAGAAACTACAACACTAATCACTCCAACAGCCTTGTATAACCTATACACTGAACTTTGTGGAAGGCCATTCACATGACTTTGCCAGCTGTCTGGAGGATAGGAAGAGAAAAACTCAACTCATTATGTGAATACAAATCTATATGGTGGATGCTTCGTTTCCTGAGAGGGGGCGCTTCGGAGAAGCCTCCTGCAGTCAAGGGAGACAGCTGGGAACACTAATTTAGGTGTTGTTTTTTTTTTTTCTTTGTCAGGAAAGCTCAGAGTCTAAATCAAAAAGGATGTCTCACTAGGAAAGTCATTTTTCATTGTCTTTACTACAAAGATTGCAACTATACTTGTTTTTTTTTTCAAAATTTTCATTCAAATAAGTTCCAAGGCTGACAAAGCAGCTCATAAAAAGAAGGGTACTGCTCTCCAATTTCCTGCCTGCCTCACCTACTCTGCTGAACATTTTTCCTCAGTTCAAAAGACTGAAGAAAAGAGTTCTATTGTAGCTCCAGTGCCTGAGACATAGTAGTCATTTGATGTAGCCTACTGAATAAACTTCATAGGAGACAAAGCCAAGCCTTGTTCTCAACACCAAGCACCAAAGATGCCTAAATCCACGAGGCACTGGGGGGTCATGCCCGTAATCCTAGCCACTCAGGAGGCTGAGATCTGAGGACTGCAGTGAAAAGCTAGCCTGGGCAGGAAAATCCATGAGACACTTATCTCCAATTAGCTTTTTGATGAGATGTGGCTTAGTGGTAGAGTGTCAATCTTAAGTGAAAAAGCTAAGGGATAATGTCCAGGCTGAGTTCAAGCCCTAGTACCAACACATATACACAAAAAAAGAAGGCTAAATCCCAGGGAGCCACCTTCCATTTCACAAACTCAACAAGAGTAGGTTATAGACATGAACACTGGTGGCTCACGCCTGTAATCCTAACTACTCAGAAGGCTGAGATCTGAGGATTGCGGTTCAAAGCCAGCACAGGCAGGAAAGTATGAGAGACATTTATCTCCAATTAACCACTAGAAAATTGGAAATGGAGGTATGGCTCAAAGTGGTAGAGTGCTCATCTTGAGCAAAAAAAGCTCAGGGACAGTGTCCGGTCCTGAGTTCAAATCCCATGACCAAAAAAAAGAAAAAAGAAGGGTATATACATATTCTTCTTCACACATAATAAAGTAGGGCCTTTCCACAACTACATCACTTTCTAGCTCCAAAAGATACTTCTGCTTTCTCTCTCAGAGCACAGCCTGACTCCTCCAGTGTTATACTCATCTACCTTCTAACCTCCCGAGCGAACTGTAGGGTAGCCTCTCCTCCAGCATGGACTGGAGACTTCAAGATGGCCTTCTACTCTCACATAGTGACCCTGGTAACATTTGGCACCTAGATCCTTGAGGAGATGCTTAAGAGTAGTCACAGCAAGAGCTATATCCTCTGAATCACCAAATTTTCAAGGGAGAGGACATAACAAATCAACTGAAAGACTCAGTGGTTGAGGTCAAGCCCTCAAAAAAATAAACATGACTGTTAACAGTTCCTGTAAGTGACATTCACCAGGAGATCAGATGGGCTGATGAGACAATAGGACAGGAAACCCACTGCATTTTTATCATAATACTGTTGTCCTCAGACTTTTTTCTTCCGACATCTCCTCAAGAAATCAAAGAAGGGTCATGCTGCAGAGGATGTACGGCTAACACCCCAGCTTTTTCCCAGGCTCTAAAACCTCTGGAACATAAACCTCTGACACATAAAAGATTGCTAGTTCTCTTCCAACTGGGCTCAAAGAGTTTCCTTTGGGCTGGGGTGGCTCAGTGGTAGAGCGCTTGCCTTGCATGCATGAGGCCCTGGGCTCAATTCCTCAGCACCACATAAGCAGAAAAAGTGGCGCTGTGGCTCAAGTGGTAGAATGCTAGCCTTGAGCTGAAGAGCTGAGGGACAGTGCTCAGGCCCAGAGTTCAGGCCCAGTGACCGACAAAAAAAAAAAAGTTTTCTTCTTCCAATCTTTACAAACTTGGAACATTAAGTAGATTTGACTTATAGATACCCAGAAAATTTGTACACATGTGAACCAATCTTTTTTCTTCCCTCCTTGTCAAACTGAAAAAGAAACTGACAGCAATATAATCTGTGGCTGTCTTGGTTCCACAGCTGAGAAGTCAGTCCTGTGAACCAAAATTGCTCACCAAAGGGCTGAGAAGGTGGCTCAGTGGTAGAGTGCGTGCCTCCCATGCATGAGGCCCTGGGTTCAATTTCTTAGCACCACATAAAGAGAAAAGCCAGAAGTGGCACTGTGGCTCACGTGGTAGAGCATTAGCCTTGAGCTGAAGAGCTCAGGGACAGCACCCAGGCCTAGAGTTCAAGCCCCAGGACCAAGGGGAAAAACTGTTTAATCGTGGGCTCAGCTTTAAATAGCTTCCTTTTAAAGTGTAAGAACCCATCCTAAGAGATCTGCCACATGCAAAGTTGCATTTGTGTTTTTATTTAGGATCTCAAATCCCAAGAGATGCTGCAGCAAAAAGCAAACTTTTTCCTTCCCTTCTTGGCCTTTATAGATTCACAGCAGCTGTGAATCTACAAAGATACAATGAAGCGTACAGTCAGCATACTGCTGAAGTTGGCACAATATAGCCCAGACAGTTAACCAAAAAAGGAGGCCAAAGGCCCTACATTGCATCTGCTGCTGCTCAGCTGTAGACAACAGAGAGACTGGGCTCCTTGGAAAATTCAGCCCCAGGGCTGGGAAGGTGGCTCAGTGGTAGAGTGCTTGCCTTGCATGCCTGAGGCCCTGGGTTCAATTCCTCAGCACCACATAAGCAAAAAGAAAAAACCCGGAAATTTCAGCCCCAATTTCAGATTAAGACAGGTCTGGATTTGAATCTTGGCTCTGTCACTCTACTATATGATGCTAAGCCAAGTGTTGCTGGGTTTTGTTGGTATTGAGGTTTGAACTCGGAGCCTCAAATGCTCTACAACACGAGCAGTCTCCAGCAATTAAATTGTGGGGTTTTTCCCCCCCTAGATGTGTTCTCTCAACTATAAAGCAGGCCTATCACCTACCTCCCAAAGAGTTTGCTCACAAAGAATAAAAATGCCTGCCAAAGCTTAAGAGTATCCGATGCGAAGAAAGACATGTTGGCATGCTAGCAGGGAAAAGATATGCACTATGCACACAGCAAACACTAAATAAATGCTTTCATTCTGGGGAGCTTAGAAAATGGACTTAAAAAGAAAATAAAAGGAGCCAGTCAATGGTGGCTCACGCCTGTAATCCTAGCTACACAGGAGGCTGAAATCAGAGAATCACAGTTCAAAGCCAGCCCAGATAGGAAAGTCTGTGAGACTCTTATCTCCAATAAACAACTCAGAAAACCGGAAGTGGCGCTGTGGCTTAAATGGTAGAGCTTTGGCCTTCAACTGAAGAGCTGAGGGACATCACCCAGGCCCACAGTTCAAGCCCCATGACTGACAATAAATAAGTAATTAAAAGTAATAAATTGGGAAACTACAGCTGGGAAGCCCACGAGTAGGAAAGCTAGAATAAGCGGGAACCTATCAGCATGAAACCACCACCATAAAGCTTCACCGTGGCTAAGGGTCACCACTGGGTCTCCTCACGACATACTTTTGAGTCACTTTTTCTCAAGGGAGGCTAGTTCCTAAAGAACTATCCTAAAAGGGCAGGAACTGTGACCTAAATTCACTACCTGTGAACTTCCAGTACGTGGCTGAGGGTCCACAGATGAACTGTGACAGAATAAGGGGAGAATTCTGAGGCAATAGGCAAATCAGAGGCTACAGCGACTGGCTGACTCATCTAATCGTGCAAGCTCTTATCTCCTCAGGGTCAAAAGGAAGAAAGCCTAGGAAAAGAATCTTTTTTTCTTTTTGTCAGGCATAGGGCATAAATCCAGGGCCTGGATACTGTCATTCATTGAGCTTTTCCCTCAAGTCTAGTGCCACAGTACCACTTCCAGTTTCCTGGTGGTTAATTGGAGATGAGTCTCACAAGCTGGTGCCAGTGGCTCACACCTGGAATCCTAGCTACTCAGGAGGCTGAGATCTGAGGATCTTGGTTCAAAGCCAATAAGATTCTTATCTCTTAACTATCAGAAAACTGGAAGTGGAGCTGTGACTCAAAATGTTAGAGAGCTAGCTTTGAGCAAAAGAGCTCAGGGACAGTTCCCAGGCTGAGTTCAGGCCCCAATACTAACCAAAAAAAAAGTGTCTCACAGACTCTCCTGCCCAGGCTGGCTTTGAACCATGATCCTCAGATCTCAGCTTCCTTAGTAGTTAGGATTACAGGCGTGAGCCACTGGCACCCAGAAAGGGTCTTCTTTAGTATTACAGATTTTGTCATCTGAGAAGCTCAGGCCACTAGCCAGCATTTTTCTCCTCTGGAGCCATGTTCTGCCCTATTTTTAATTCCATGTAAAAGGTCATCAAGAAAAAAAAAGTAACACTTTATCCTACGCTAGAATTAAGGTTTTTTGTTTGTTTGTTGGCAGTGGGGCTTGAACTCTGGGCCCGGGCGCTATCCCTCAGCTCTTCAGCTGAAGGCGAGCGCTCTACCACATGAGCCACAGCACCACTTCTGGTTTTCTGAGTGTTTTTTTTTGGAGATAAGAGTCTCACAAGCCAGGCTGAGCCAGGCGATGGTAGCTCACACCTGTAATTCTAGTTACTCAGGAGGCTTCGTTCTGAGGATCATGGTTCCAAGCCAGCCCTGGCAAGGAAAATCCGTAAGACTCTTATCTCCAATAAACCACTAGAAAACCGGAAGTGGAACTGTGGCTCAAAAGGTAGCACACTGGCCTTGAGCTGAAGAGCTGAGAGACAGCGCCCAGGCCCAGAGTTCAAACCCCATGACCGACCTAAAAAGAGTCTCACAGACTTTCCTACCCATACCCAGGCTGGAGTTTTTTTTAGTCATATCAGAGATTTCTAAAGCCAGAGTAGTAGTAGGGTGGGGGGGGGAGGTATGTGTGTAGTACTGGAAAGGCTCTGGTAAAGCTAGGGTGTGTGTGTGTGTGTGTGTGTGTGTGTGTGTGTGTGTGTGTGTGTGTGGTATTGGAAAGGCTCTGGTAAAGCTGGTGTGTGTGTGTGTAGTATTGGAAAGGCTCTGGTAAAGCTGGTGTGTATGTGTGTGCACGCGCTGGACCTTGAACTCAGGACCTGAAAGCTGTCTCTCAGCTTGTTCTCTAAAAGCTAATGCCTTACCACTTTGAGCTATACCTTCGCTTCTGCTCTTTTGCTGATTAATTGGGTAAGCATTGGATTTGTCTGCTCAGCTGGCTTCAAACTATGAACCTCACCCCTCAGCCTCCTCAGTACTAGGGATTACAGGTGTGAGCTACCTTTGCCTGGCTATAAAGCAAGTTCCTTAAGGTCATACAACTCCAGCAGATATGCTTCCGTGCAGAGGAAAGGAAGTAAGCCTTTCCCTAAACTCAAGCCAAGATCTGTGCCCTTAAGCCAAAAAGCAAGCAGGTCTTTTCCTAGTCAGAGTCAAAAGGAACCAGCCAGAATAACTACATTCAAAGAATCGGTAGCACACAGTCTGCCAAAACGCTGGTGAGCACTGCGGAAACACTTTCTCTATAGTGGTCCTTCCATCTGTTGAATCAAGGTATGCAGATTAAAAACTCCTTTTCCAGCCAGACACCAATGGCTCATGCCTGTAATCCTAGCTACTAAGAAGGCTGAGAACTGAGGATCGCAGTTCAAAGCCAGCCCAGGCAGGAAAGTCTGAGACTCTTATCTACAATAAACCACCAGAAAACTAGAAGTGGCACTGTAGTTCAAGTGGTAGAGTGCTAGCCTTGAGCTGAAGAGCCTACGGACAGCGCCCAGGCCCAGAGTTCAAGCCTCGACAAAAAAAAAACAAACAAACAAAAGAAACTTCTTTTCCAAGCCATAAGCACTAGCCATTCTCAAGGCACAGATGATAAGCAATAAATATTGTGAAAGAATAAACTACCAGGTGCCCTGCCTGGGCTGCTCAACTCCAAGAATACAACACTACAAAAGACTATAAAGATTATCAAAAGAAGGCCAAATCCTTATCTGGACTAACTTGGCAACAAATACCTGAATTATTCAACATACGGAGAACTTTCCACAGAATCACAAGCATGCGGGCAAAGAAAAGGAGCAGACAGCTCCTCCTGCAATTAGTGTAAATAGCTGTGGGAGCAGAAGGCAAAAGGGTCTCCAAATACCTGGCACACCCTTATCCAAACAGGGCCAAAAAAGGAATGGAGGTATGAGCAGCTGTACTTCCTGGATCCGACTGACTCCTAAGCACAGAAGACACCAGAGAGCTGACTCCTGCCTGGAAACTTAAAGCACATTTCAGCCTCAGACCTAATGCCAGCAAAATGCTACTCTCAGGAACCTGCTAAGTGCAACGCTGCAACAAGGCCAGTCCAAACTTCAGCTGAAAACCCACCCCCTCTTCTCCCACAGAGTACAGCCAGGGACCCTCCACTTATACAATGCCCCAAAGGCTAGTATCCAAAACAGGTCTCCGATACACATGAGCCCTAACTAGGGCTCGTGTAATTTTACCTGCTTCAATAAACTCCTCCCAAGGAACAGCAACTATGAGCCAATAACCCAAGGACAGAGAGCCTGGCTGACTGCTGACCAGGCCAAAACAACAAAATCACCAGCACCAGCAAAATTAAAACTGGAATTTCTGAATACAGGCAGTACCTGGAACTAAACTCTTGTGGTCTTTGTGAGCTTTATCCTCCACACAAGGGAACCTAATAGAACAATGTAACCCAGTGGAAATCAGTTATCTGCTAAGTGAAACAAGCCATCTGCCCCTAACCACAGTTATCTCAAGAGTCAAAGTCCACAAACTGTCTCTAGTTTCTTCAAGGGCTCCTTCCTCCATGTCCAGGAGGAGGAAGGATCCAGGATAGATAGTAGTAACTTCCAATTATAACATCTAGTTAGGGCCCAACATGGTGGTACAAGCCTGTAATCCCAGCAGGCTGAAACAGGAGGATTACAAATTCAAAGCCATTCTGGGCTACATAGCAAGACACCTTCTCAAAAAAAAAAAAAAAAAGCCAGCTCTATAAAATTTGGGTTTGGCTGCTACACAACTAGAACCCTGGCTTAACTGAACCTTGGCTACTGAATCCTACATGCCAAGGCTAACCAACTTCCAAGACAAACATAGCTTCAGAAAGCAGCTTTGGGTCCCAAGACTTCCCATGCATAAAGCAGACTTCCCATGCATAAAGCAATAAACTCCTGATACTGAAAACTTTCAGGCAACTGCAAAGAACTTGGATAACACTAAGTTAAACTTTTTAGTAAAGTCAAGAGCCAAAATCTAAGCATTGTGGAAAGAGAGTGGCCCGTTGCCAATTTGGCAGCCTCTAAACCCAGCATACAACATAAATCTCCTTCCAACACATGAAGCAAAGGAACTTCCTTCTAAACCTGTTTTCCAATCCTACTTACAGAAGAAACAAAGAATCTAGAGTAGATCTCTCCAAAGAGGTATCTGGGGGTGATCTACATCTAATGAATCCCTGTTGCAGAAATCCAGGTAGGAGCAAAGGGAAACAGACCAAAGCCTTATCGATCACGGTTGGGCTGGGGACCAGGAATCTGCCTTTTTAACCACCTGCTCTAGCAATTCTTATGCCATCTTTCCGAACTGTGTAGCTCTGTAAACAGCACTGTTGCCCAACCAGTTAAGTCACAATCACTTTGTTGTTCAAGTGGATCATACCTTTTGGGCCCGACCACCTGGGGAAGACAGCAGCACTTTGAAGTTCAGATCTAACACTGGTTGACCCAGTTGACACAATGCCACCACCACTCACCTATTCAGGATGGCTTTAACATAACCACCCTCTGGGTGGCTTTTACTTTTTTAAAAATAAGCATACAGATCCCTCACTCCAAACGAGGGCGGGGTGGGGGTGGGATGGGGAGGCAGCCACAACCAAACTTTCCAGGCCCATCCTCTTCGAAAGATTCCTCGCTATTCTGGGTAAGAATCAAGTCCCGTTCCTACACTAGGAGCAAGGAAAGCAACCGATTTGTGGGTGGGTATGAATCGATCAGGGACCGTCGCGATAAAAGAGGGCACCCTGTGAAGCCTGAAAAGATTGCAAAGCTGGGGAGGGGGCAAAAGGCCGCCCTCGTTATTACTTTCCCTGCTTGGGGGGGGGGAGGGGGAAGCGGGGAGGATGAAGGGTGTGAGATCATGCAGGGTTAAGGATCCCAATATAACTCCTCTCGCCAACTCTCTGCCTCGACGGCCCTTGGTAGCTTCGAACCAACGCTAGGCCCCGGGCTGTGACCAGATCCTCCGAGCAAACTGCATGCAGTGGGAAACTTCGCTGCAGAGCCCATGGGCCCCCGGAGTGGAGAAAGGGGGCTCGGGGCCTGCAGCTATCGGCCCTGCTGCACCCAGCACCGCCAGGCCCCGGATCCCACGGCTCGGCCGAGGGGCTCTCACCTCGGCCCACCCGGCCTTCCAAGGGGTCCTTGCGGAAGTGGATCCCGTGCACGTCCACATGCGCCTCGCCGCCCGCGTTGACCGCCCAAATGACGCTATCAGGCAACCCTGCCCCGGCGGC